CCCCTTCATTTAAATTACGATATCTCCGAAATGAAAAGTTTGATCGACATAATCCAAATACCATTTCAAAGGGGAAGCTTTGCCGCTTATAACAGTGGTTCAGTTATGGAGCACACAGTAGTATCTTCGGAAAGTTTTAGTACTTCCTATGTACGTGATACTAGACTATTTATCGAAATATTCCAATCATAATAAATCATTCAAATAATTTAATTAATAACAGTTCCATTAAATATTTCTGACGTTATCGACAATAATTATTTCATGACATTTCGCTTGCTTCGACAGTTTGTTGACTGCTATTTAACAAGTTTAACACGATTTCGATTAACACGGTTTACCACGTTGATTGCCAAACCAAACACCTGAAATTGTTCACGAGAACGAAACTTCGTCTCTAGACAATTGGAAACTAGCATACCCATAATTTGTCAACCGATTTTGACAGCCTCGTTAAAATTCAATAGTCTAATATCTAACCTTGAAGATTCATTTTTTTTTGACTCCGTGAAAAATTAGTCAACCTCATATAGGTCACGTGACAATCAATGTATCAAATGAGATGTCGAATTCTCGTACAACACGATAGTTTTCTGATCTATTAGCAGCCCCGGTAAAACTGTAAGATACCCAATTTTTGTTTTATTCCCGGAGACACGCGAAAGTGGCAATTTGTACGCTAAATTAATTGACGTTTGAAGCAGCTAATAAAATTTCCACGGAGAAGTTTCGCGTTTTACAAGCCGTAGACGCGACGAGAGACATGAACGATCGCACGGAGGTGTCATTTTGTCCGTGCATAGCGCAGCAGAAGACTATGACTAATGATATCGCCGCAACAACTTATTTGTTATCGGAATTGCCTATTACTTACTGCATTGAACAATATGTCTGTCGTCTCGTCGCCTATCGTCGCTACCTATGGAAGCGCCAAGTTTCTCGCGAGACTTCCTATCGATTATTGCGGACGATATTTGTCCCCGTGGGAGCGTTTCCAGCGTCGGACGGGGTACCGTGTGAAAAATTATACGCGTCGCGGAACTTTCCTAGAATTTCTTTTCCGCCGTATCAACGTAACGACGATAGGGCCGTGCATTTTTAATTACAACTTCAGCGAGGAACAGAGAAGAAAGCGGTAACGGTGGGAACGAGAGAATTCTCTTTCGTTTGCCGGCCATGAAAATCTTACGGCGTGCACGGGGAATTCGTTGCGACAAGATAATGAAAACGTCGTGAACGTTCTTCTCGATGGTCTGTTTATTTTTTTTTTCCTACGTTTTTTTTTTTTTTTTATTTCGCAACTCTGCAACTTTTCTGATAAGACGGCAGCGAGGAAACGTTCCGCGCAATTTCGCAGCGCGGAGTACGTGGATACGAAGGAAAGGAGAAACAAACCAAGTGAAACGCACGTATAATCCAGAGACGATTCGAAATTTGATTTCGAGATCTCGAAACTCTGGGTACGCGAAACGCTCGTTGCTTTCCTTTTGCTCGAGCGTTTAGCCAGGAACCGATTAAAGACGTCCCGCGTTCGAGACATCGTAGCATACGAGATCCGTTTAATCGAAGTTTATTCGAATATATCGCGGACAGCAATCGTGGTGATTAATTTGATCGTTTGTTTCGCGTCACGTACACGCGCCTGTTCGTGCACAAACGCGTGTCGATTGCACGCATAAATATGCGCATGGACAAACACCGGCACGCTTTAATTGAAAGGCGAAATGCGTGCAACGGGCTTTGAAGATATTAATTAGCTTTCGGAGTTAATCGCATCCTCCATGATGCCCGCGGTGTCTACGAAATCTACACAATTTCACACACCGCCATTATTTCGCTTCGCGCCACCTGGATGGATCGTCGAGTTCGAAGATAGACCACTCGACGCGGTATTAATTCCAGTCGTGGAACTGTTTGTTGAAATGTTTCCAGTTTCCTTCGAACGGTTAACTATCGAAGAAATTTTAAAAGATTTTTAATAGTCAAGATTCAACTATACAGCGTCGCGCAGTGTGCAAAAGTGGCAAAAACGCGGAAGAAATATGAAATCGATCTTAGATTTGTACGAAAATTAGTAAATTAAAGTTTTTGGGGTCGCTGATTACGGATCTAATATCAAATTAATGTTTGAATTAATCGTTCGTTAATAAAAAATATTTTCAATATAACATAAGATATTACACAATATAATACAATTGAGAAACAAACAGTATATTGAACAACTAAAAGTATAATATTCGTAGTTTATTTGCTTAAACCATAACTATGTAGAACAAGTGTTGTTTAACGTATAAAGTATATGTAAAAGACAAATTTACATATATAAATACTTTTTAATATACAGGGTGTTCGGCCACCCTTGGGAAAATGATTTTCGGTAAAGAATTTTTTGCTCGAAAGTGGGTAGGAATTCGGAGGTATGTCTATTTACCAAAAATTATTGCAATTGACCCCCACAACTGTCAATAATTTTTTTAGAACGATTTGAATTTTTTTTTTACGAAAAATTTAGGCAGCTACCCACTGTCGATTTTTCTTAAAAATTCGTTTTTGATTTGTATCAAATTTGTTTGACGCTGTACGGAAATATTGTCTAATACTTGTTTGTAGGTATCCATGAGCTCTACTTTCAGACTAAATTTCAATAGGATTTATTGACTATTGTATGAGTTATGGCTGTTTGAAAATTGGACCATTTTTATGATGTTTTCCTCACTTTTCAAGGTTAAGGAACAACTCTTCCAATATTCTTGGAATTACTACACATTCTTGAGTAAAATACGCGTTGTTTGCCTTTTGAAATATTAAAATCCTCCAATCCGTTCAGAAGTTATGATGTTTTAAACATACGCATGAAATTTTATGATCAGCCATTATATTTTTGGTAAGGAATTTTTTTCTCGAAATTGCGTAGGATTTCGGGGGTATGTGTATTCACCAAAAATGTTTGTAATTGACTCCCGCAATCAAAAATATTTTTTTTAGAATGATTTGAAACTTTTCATTTTCGCTGAAAAATTTAGTTGTCTATTTTCATAAATCACGATTTTCTTATTCTTCTGCAAATTTCTGCAAGATCTTCTTTTTCAATATTAATGTAGACGTATTCAGAAATCATTTCTTTGCAAAACCAACATTTGTACCCGTGTTTCTGTTTTTCATAATGAGAATGAAAGTTAGTCAAACTGATTTTTCTTTGCAAAGTAATACTAATGATATTATCTCATTATGCAATCACAGTGATACCATTATCAATAAAAAAAAATGTTCCAAAGTGTATACATTAAAGGCAGACACAATAAATTCTCACTTTCAAATCATATCAATCAATCAAAATTGACATAAAATTATGATTCAACAAGTTTGTACTTAGGTTTTCTCGTTAATTTTGTATGATTCCTTGTACCTTGGTATAGCACCTCGTATAAACAATATTCGTTACTTTGAAAAATGCCGTTTCGCTTAATTTTGTCCTCGTTTCGAACATTTTTGCACACTGTTCGTCGCTGCCTGGAAATAAGGTTACTACTTTGATTCGGAATCGCAGGATCGTTCATACGTGGCTTGTTAAACAATTGAAGGAGCTCTGATCGGCGCGGAGACTCGTTCGAAATAAGTGATATTCCTGGTCTCTACAATTGGCCTGTAATTTGTTCGAATGATCCTTTGAATGAAGCTCGTTAGCGGACCACGGGTGGTAAGTGTCGCGTACGTGCATACGTCTCTGGATATAAAATCAATATATGAAATTCATGGACGTACGATTGAAATAACTGGCCGAGTACGCGTGTCATTCCTGTCCAGTCCATCGAACTTAATTGCCTGTTAATTTCGAACGACATTCATGGAGTACGGAGATATTTTCATGTAATAGATTTCAACTTTTATATTCGAAATACTACTGTCGCGCGGTAATTATAATTAATTCACGACGGGCGTAATTACGTTCCGTTTCGCAAATTAATCAAACGTGCGTTATTTAGTCATTATCGGGATGGAAAATTCTTCCCGGGTCGCGTTAAATCTTGATGTCATAATCATTTCGTCGACTATGCTCGACACTACACAGAAACCAATTCAGTTTTACAAACGTACGGACACGCCGTCAGTCACGCGTCGCGACTGTGGGGGTGCAATTAATCCATAAAATAGGTACGCGGCAGCGCGACGCATGTTCAACAGCAATTTCATCGTCCACGCTAGCATTTCATCTCTTTGTTTCCCCCCGAAACGGTCATCGCGCGGCCGTGTACGAGGAAACGTGACACGAGCATTTATTCAAAACGCCGCGGCACGTTTCGTTTGCATGTCGCGAAAGTACAATTCGCTCTTAAATCTTCCCGCTTAACGGCGAGAATTTACGCGCGAAACGGTCGAACGACTGTTTCAATGACGGCGCGCGAGTAATCACGGAGGAGAATTAAAGGAAGTCGATTAACCCTCGAAATCATTATCGTTGGCCAAATCATTTTGAAAATGGTGAAAATATTTAGGAATCGAATAAGATGTGTATAGTTGGAAAAAAAAATTTCCACGCGAACTTCTGGGCTCAATATTCTCATTTAATTCTTCATTTATTTATTTTGTTCGTGAAATTTGTTCGATACAATTTTAAAAACAAATGTAAATGCCAAAGTAAAAGTGTAACACTGTATTTTCGAATCGACCATATTTTTCTAATTTACCCTTAGCGGTTGATGCGACTTTAAACAAATAAATAAATATATAAACAAAAGAATGTTGTTATATCTAGACAGATTAGAAATGAATACAAGCACAGATGGCATTAGAAAGAAAGTAGCTAAGACAAGAATACGATCGTTTTGATACAGCTACAATGTTTTAGCATTGAACATTAGGGGTTAGATCAGTGTCTGATAATCGAATTTTCGATTAATCATTTTACCCTCTTTTTATGAAAACAAGTTTCAACGAGTTTAAAAGTCATTGCGTCTAATGAACTGTCAAACTAAGTAGAATTTTATTTGTATTCTTTTTCCTTGCTCGTGAAACAATTCAGTCCGCTAGTAAATATATTTTATCAACGCAAGAGGAAAACTAACCAACGATCGTATCGTGAACCCATTGTCGCGTTAATCTATTTCGAACAATAAGTAAGAAACGTGTCGTTCGATTTGTACTATCTCGTCGATGGATTAATAAAACTAAGTGCGCGTCGTGAATTTCCTTAAATACAATTCGGCGTTAGCCTATCTTACATTGCGTGAGAGAATGTGGAGCTTTGGTTACTCAAATTGTTCCCGCTCGATGCTCAACGTTTCAATGAACATTATGTTTGTCAGTATCACAACTAGCGAACGAGTCGCGAATCTTTCTAGCACCGTCACCGAATAAACTCGACTCTGAGGTTAAGTCGCGGTTCCACAGCCTAAACACGCGGATTAAACCATAACGGGTCTCCTCGATCCTTGTTTAATTATTCTTTCGAAGAGTCGTGAAACGGTTTACGTCGGAACTTCGAGGATACCCAGTTCCATGAACCTGACCAATCTCTTGAGCATTATTTTCTTGTAAAGCGGGTTCCTGACGGCGGGAGTGTCGATGATACCATTCTCGTTGGGTGTCATTTCGTCTATCGTTTTCACTTGGTTCTTATCCACCAAGACCACTGGCAGGACGAAGATCGACGCTATAAACGCGTACGTCTCTCGTTCCCTCATGGTCTTTTTTAGTTGGTCCATGGTGGGTGGCTCTGTTTTACAACCAAGCTGTTTCATCGTGCTGCACAACGTACGCAGGTACTCGTTCATCAACACGTCCCTCTTGTTATCGTAAACATCTATCGACAGGCTGGTGGACAGGAAGTAGTGCAGGTCGATCGCGGGCGAGCAGTAAAGGCATAATTGGAAATCCACCTGCAATCGAACGTCGATCGATTTAAAGTATGGCGCGAATTGAATTGAAAATCGCCAGATTTGGGGGGGGGAGGGGGGAGAAAGAAGCGTGGATCGCGTTTAGGAAGTCGTCACTGTCGAGAGTCCATCTACACGCGAACGCGACTCCTTGCAAAACCCGAACAGACAGGCGGAAAATGTACCTAAATGCGATCGAATCGGATTTATTGCATTATTCATAACGCACAGGGATTCGAAGCGGTGGCCTTTTGTCGCGGTGCCTCTTCTTTCGCGATAAACCAAAACCGTTCGAAAGAACGCGAGCCTCGAGGATTTACGCGAAACACACCAATTTTTTAATATGTATTAAAATATATAGTTCATGTATTTAACGCATTCAGGAAAACTAATTACTAGAAGATTCCGTTATAACTTAACCTTTAAGTGGATTATTGGGGCCGCTGGGGTCCTCGATGTAATTATTTGAAAAATTGAATCTTCTATTAGTTCGTTATTTTTTAAATGCTTTAAAGAAAAATTGATTTTCATTTACCGATTTGGTAAAAATCAACGTCATGTAAAATAATTCAGTCGATATCGAGAGTCCACTTAAAGCCGCTGCGGTTCTCGATGTAATTATTTGAAAAATTTAATCTTCTATTACTTCGTTATTTTTTAAATGCTTTAAAGAAAAATTGATTTTTATTTACCGATTTGGTAAAAATCAACATCATGTAAAATAATTACGAGATCGAGGGTCCACTTGAGAGTTAAGAAAGAAAGTAGAGCATTGATTTCTACGCGAAGTCGAACTGATATTAATTACAGTTGTTAACTCCGATTAGCATAATGGTACGGGTTAATTATTAGGAAATTATCAGGAAGTACGTCGATACTTACGAAAATATGTTCTACAGGCTTGGAGTTGTTATCGTATCGAAACAACATGTTGTTTGCCCAAGCATCGCCATGATTGATCACGTTGAGCTCGTCGTTGCGTTGCTCTGTCATTTTCAAGCCTAGCGTGTGAATGTGAGGTGCAAGTGCCCGAAGTTTGGCCCCGTACCTGTGGATTTCATCGATACGGTGAAACTCAACAGCATGCAATGATCCCGTTCGCCGATTAAATAATAAGACTTGATGGTGCTTACTCTTTTGTTAACTCTGGCCAGCTATCTACTTCATGCGCAAGGGTGTTGCACATGCCCGAGAACATATCAAGAGCTTCTTTTGAGTAATCAGCCCTGAACATACCCTTCTTATACATTTCCTTCTGTTTCGGTTCCTGCGATTTACGTAAAAGTTATTCGTTATTTCGAATTGTTGGAGTTTTTATACGATAATCGCTGTTAAATGTCACGCGCGTTGTGATTGTTTCTTTCGTTTCTACTATTTCAACGGTTTTAAGAAGAAGCTAAAAATTTGTCAGATGATTTATGCCAATTGTTACAATTTCACAGAGACTCGATGAAACCAGTCGGCCATTGCCATTATAGTGCATGATAATTTCAAAAGATAAAAAGTATAAAATGCAACTTTAAAAGATTATGGATAGAGTGAAACTGTTATAGGGTAATGATAACCGATCCTAGAATTTTGATTTAGAAGCGGCTAGAATGGGGGTAGCTAAATATCCCTGGGGTATAAGCTTGGCTCTAAAAGAGAAACGAATCCGGCGGATGTCGCGCGTTCTTTCTCCATTAATCGCTTCAAGGATTACCTCTTCGGTGGTCAGTGAGTCGAAAGAGTAAAGAGGATAACGGTGGGAAAAGGAAGTGGTTTTCGTTCTAGCGCATTCATGAGGAGTATCTACCTTCTCGTATAGCGCGATCGAGCTGGCGTGGAATCTGGCTATTCCTTGGATTGCCATCATCGAGTGTGTTAGGTCCATACCGGCTTGACGGTCGGCCATGCGAAATCCGAAAGGCGCCAGGTCCTCTATTATCAAACACAACGGTCGTTCCAATCGTACGTGAAGAATTCGAGCGCTGAGACGGGGCCCTGAACTCAGCAGGTCGTTCATCTTCTTCAAAGTGTCCGTCATCATCAAGATCTCGGTATCGAATACTTGAGCTTGATGGATCTTACGAAACATTACATAGAACGCTTAGAGAATTGTTGATTTCCTAAATTAAGCGTCGGTGATTTTTCAAAAGAATTGTTTTTCACATTTACTTTCAGAACCTTCGATTTAGGAAAATTGAACGAGAGTAGAAATATTGATAACTAGACTGCGGATAAATAGAAGTTTGTTTCATCATTAGAAGTCCTTAAAAATCTATTTTTTATTTTGCATATTTTTTATAAAAACATACTGTGTATGTCATATATGTTTATTGCATTTCTTTTCGTAAAATGGATGCTCATATGGGCTTACGAACATCTATTTCAGTCTACTGATTCAACGTTAGAATATGATAATCATGGGCAGAATTGACAACCTATGTGTTTACCTACAATGAGTCATAGATACTCTGAATAGTATTATTCGGTAAGTCTGAAGAATTCTTGGCAGATGGGTTCTAGGTAAACTAATTCTATGAGCCCAGATTGTTAAGGAACCTAAAATAATTAAAGCATGCTATTTCAACAAATTCAAATATGCCAAAATCACATCTTGTAATGTTGAGGGTTCGTTCCCAGCTTATAAATTGACTTTAACCCTGAAGTTAAATCTCAACTGAATTATTTTACTTAATGTTGATTTTTACCAAATTAGTAAATGGAAATCAACTTTAAAGCATTTAAAAAATAATGAACTAATAGAAAATTACATAAATTTTCAAATAATTGACGTACATTAAATAATTATTAGTTCAAACTTGAGGAGGGCCCCAGAGACCCCAATAATCCATTTAAGAAATAATACTCGCAACATACTGCAATTTAAATTATAATTAATTATTTTTATGTTTAAGTAATAAAATTATTTGAACATATTTTTGATATATTTTGCATATTCCTGTATATTTTGGCATATTATAGATACATATTTGACGTATATTTGACATATTTTGACATATTTTATTGACATAAATATCCGCAGCCTATTGATATATATATAACGATGTTGATTTGAAACAACCTTTAATTGATCAGTAAAGGTTGATCATCGACTTATGTACACCAGAACATATTAAACCAGAACGATATTTTTTATTTGCATATTCTATTTTACGAGCAATTCCAAATAAATTAGGAGTATTAATATTATTCATATCAATTTTTCAATAACGACTGAATTTGACTAACGAAACTTTGGATAATACACTTTGAAAGATGGAATAACAGCGGTGTCAATGGATTCGAATAAGAAAATATTTCAATGACTTACGAATTCCTTTCGCGGTCCTTCTTCTAGCGGTTCGAATTTGAATAAGAGCGACTTCTTCCCGTCGAGCTTCTTGTCCCCCTCGAAGTGCGTGAAATCCACGACCACCCTCATCATATCGCTGACATAGTTGTCACCCTTGTTGGTGGCCGGTTTTATAAATATATCGTTCACCTGGACGTTGTTGTCGTCCCCCGTCAGTCGCAGTATCCTCTCGGTGAAGTCGACGTTCAGCCACGACGGTGCCTCTAGGGCCATTTCTGAAATTGGAATTGGAATTGGAGAATTTCCTCGACAAATCATTGTTCTTCTCGACGCGCCGGGAGACGCGGAAACGATTCTTTACGGTAACTTATTGTTCGCGGCGAGATTTATCACGCTTCCCGTTTCTTTCTTCCACCTTCGACGCGTTCGTACCTCTTCTTCCCCGTTTACGTCTTTCCCCGTGCACCTTCGGCCCTCGATATTCACGGCGAACGTTTATCGCGTTCCACGGATCGTTGTTTCAATTAGAGACGTCACGGAACGCGGAAATACTTCCCTCCCTGCCTTTTTCCCGTGGCTCGAGATCTCGTCAGCGAGATTCCTTCGTTAAACCGCGGCATTTTAACGAAACTTAAAGCAAAAACAAAGAACTTACTTTGAAGTTACAAAATATATAAAATCGCGAAACGTCTCTTATTATTTCCCGGAACAGTCGCGTCGTAAATTTCAATTATTTCAATGGTATATTTAAATACGTTTATTTCGGTTGGATCCCGGAGAGGCTGTGATGAATGAACATTTTATGCAAGCTGTGATTTTAATATCACGGGACGCGATTAGAAGCGAAAACCAATTATCTTGACCTCAGCAACGCGTGACGCGTTCTATGCTCGAACGACGTTTCCTGCCTGTCTAGAAACACGTTACTGGCACTGGCACATCGTGCACGCGGAGAACTCTTACTTTCACCCCTGAAATATTACACATTATTTCAGTTGGGCGATCTAAAAATACCAGAACTTCACTACGTTGGAAGATCAGGCGGAGATCACACGCGCGAGAACGTGATCGACACGGTATTACGGTGGATTCGAACAGTAACATTTGTCCCGTGTACGGGAAATATTTCCGTGAAAATGTGTTGCACTGTTCGCGACGAACTCACGCGTCGAAGGGAACGATTGGAAAACGCACGGGACACGTGATCCTCGCCCACTGACCTGCGGATTTAAAAGCGGCTCGAAGATCGGACACCTAATGGATCACTGTGCTCTGCCTCCGTGGATGTCTAGTACGGAGTGAGCCACGGAGAATCAAACTGTCACGCTTTATACGAGCCTACCGCACAATACTTATATCACGATAAGACCCCCAGACCGTGTGTATTATCTATAATTATCACGTGCGGATAATAATTAAGTAATACAGGAACGATTCTGTCTCTCCTAATAAGGAAATGAAATAATAGGAAATATCTAATTTACTATTAATTTCACGAACTCTCTGATTAGAGGACTCTTGTTCCACCACACGGCCACTTTTTTTATTCTTTCGACCCTATTGCATTTTATACATAATATAGATCAATTGAAGAGATTAACCGAAATACCGAGATGTACTGTAGACTAACGTGAACGTATTTACTATACAGGTATATGAATTTGTAAATAAAAAAAAAATATGAAAAATTTTATAGTAAAGGAAATATTATCGCACTCGAATATCTGTTATCGATCTGCTTCTCGATAAAATTGGTTATCGCTTTGCCTGGAGACATGCCTTAGATTAAAACTCTTACTAGATAAACAAGAATGCATCAATAACTTGCAAGTAACCAAGGTAATAGACTTTGCATACAAATATTATAGTAAAGGATAATGACCTGAGTAGAACCTCTTATTAGATAAACTCTTATTAGATAAACAAGAATGCATCGATAACTTGCAAGTAACTAAGAAAGTAACCTTTACATACAAATATTATAGCAAAGGATAATGACCTGAATAGAACCTCTTATTAGATAAACAAGAATGCATCGATAACTTGCAAACAACCAAGAAATTAACCTTTACGTACAAATATTATAGCAAAGGATAACGACCTAAATGGAACCTCTTATTAGATAAACAAGAATGCATCGATAACTTGCAAGTAACCAAGACAGTAACCTTTGCGTGCAATTATTATAGTAAAGGATAACGATTTAAATAGAACCGCCAAGAATCGCGGAGTTGAGCGATGGCGATTGTTGATAACGGGTCGAGTGTTTTATCAGGGGCTCGGAGGCACGTCCAGTGATATTAACGATGATTGTACGCGTCGTTGGCCGAACAGGTTACTTTAATTCTGTAATTTATGCCGATGATGCGTCGCCTCGGCGATCCTCTGATACGTTTACCTGTCGTTTGCATCCAGTTTGTTGTGAAACGAGTGTTGTGAAATGACATTGGAATTCAGTGCACTGAATCCCGATGCACCGGCTGCGAATAGCTCGTACACGGCACGATGCGCGCGTATGTTATCATAATATTGTAATGCAGCGATCGTTCGCGTCTGGCGCGTTACAGAGTATTGTTTTCTCGAATCTGATGGATCAGTGTTCGCTGTCAGAAAGGGAGGGAGTCAATTGATAGTAGTTTACTCGTCCCTTGCACACCTAGGTCTGTTCTGACTCACGCGTCTCTCCGATTCAGATTTTCCACAAATATTTAACATTGATTTTCTTTTAAATAATATGAATAGAGAAAACAGTTTATCAAATATAGTTTTTAAACGTCGATTAGATTTTTGTTGTTGAGAGCATCTCCTTTAAGTTTCATCCTTGGCATTGCTTTCATCCAATGTTAGGTATGCATTACTTAAAATAGAACTTTATGGTGAAATTTCTCGAGAAGAGGCTCTTGTTTGAATCGAAATTCTGCATTGTTTTAGCGATTTAGTCGAACAAAACAAGTTGTTCATGGTTTAGGCGTTGCATCGAGAGATCGAACTATAGTTGCAATAAGTCTTTTCTAAAAAAAATGGCGGTGAAAAGATCAAGCTGGATGAAACGATACACGTTTGCTCAGGTTTTTCGTGGCTCCATGAAACAAAAACAGCCGCAAGTCGCTAGTCGGGTCGCAAAAGTACACAGTCATTTGACGAGCCTCAATCATCGACAAGCCAGTGATTAAACATGAGCCGCCTCGAGCGGTTGTACGAGTGCGTTTACGTGACACGCTTCCGCGAACTTGAACAGCGGTTTACACAGTTGGGTCGACGGAAGTCAATTGATGCTATTATGAAATCCCCTCCCACGACATTCGTCACGAGTTCCAGAACACGGGTGCAAGTCACTGTTTATTATTGTCATTACCCTCGTGGTGTTCCGTGAAGTTACGTAACGACGAACCCGGAGACCTCACGAATCGAAGGTCGAAACTGCCTATTGTTTCGGGTAAAAATTTTAAAACGATCGACGACAGTAGGCCATACTTGACACTTTATAATAGAAAAACTGTGTACTTGGAACAGATCTTGTTATCAGAGTCGAGCAAATTTTATTTTAGCTTTCTAACAACTGGTTATATTATGTTTGCGTAGTATCTATTACTGGAGAGTCTGAATGGGAAACGATAACAAGCAGTGTCATTGGTAACGTTTATGAATACATTATTCTATGTCATGGTCAAGCGTGCACGCACTTGGCGAGCCTTCAACATTTATTCGATATTCTAGATTTGAACCACCAATAATGTTAAGGAAACGCAAAGCTCTCGCTTTTGTTTTGCAAGCTCCTCCGTCGTTGGACCAGTAATCAATTATCCAACGATACCTGGATGGACGTTTCTATCGCGACAACGGTTCTATTTGGAGTACGCGATCGCAGATACTGGCGTTGATACATAATTACGTAACCTGCGTAAAGCTTGATTCGATTTAGAACTGTTCACAGACTTACCGACCGTGTACACTGGGATTATGTGAGAATCGCAATGACCGTGAATCCACTGTGTGTATACAAGCAGTTTGTCATCTTGGAGATTCAACGGTACGCATACATTATCGTTTGTTTTCGTTGCTATGTGCATCGAGAATCCATTAGTGATTTTCAAAACTTCCTTCTCGAAGGAAAGATCTCATAGAACGCATCGATACGGAACTATTTACATATTTTTTCCTCTGGAAACGTTAATCATTTTGCGACCGACAACAAGACACGAGAAATTAATCTGCCAGAGGCGTTCATTTTCCGGAAAATCGAAGTCGTAGCTTTGAATTAATAATCGAGACAAATGGTAGTCAAGGTTACATCTGCAACAGACCGTTTGCATATTATGTAACAAGTGTGTTTGCATCTCGAACGCAGAGAACTCATAAAGAAAATTCACACGAAATGAATTTCCTTTATTTACGAAATCTGATATAAAAGCTTGCAAGTAAAATTTCACTTGAACATTTCGAAACGTTTAAATAATTTTCATCGATATTTTTATAATTTATCGAAACAAAATTAGTTTAAATCTACAATAATGATAATTGATTTCGTTTTATAGAAACTATGTATAGGTCGTCAAATTATATTCTTAAAATATCGCAAATTATTTTATACAATATCTTTTGCACATCGACGATGATTTCGATGCCACGAGATTTTATTTGGAGATTCTCCTGTACATCTCTGTCTTCCGCATTTTTTTACAGTCGAAAGATTTTATATTACTTCTTTAGAATCAAGAGTTCCTATTGACGTCCCCATAGAATTTCTATTCATTGCTCGAAGGAAGAGAGTAATATACTATACCTTACACGCATCATCGATAATCTCCGCGTAACAACGTCGTTGTAGCGTCGTATTCTTAAGTGTACTGCAATTCACTAGGCATTGGAAGTTTTTCAATTTAGTCTCTTAATCGAGAATCTAGTCTTGCAATGGGAAACTTCTATAGAATTCCTGTTGGAACTTCAAATAGCATTCCTGATGGAACTTCAATAGAATTCCTACTTGATGCTTCAGAATGTGGAGCATTAAATTTTTGAAACATTCTCGGAGACAAATACCGTCCAATATTTTTCTATACGTTATCAATAAACGAGCACACGTATATCGCAAATTTCGTTGTTCTACGCTCCTATGATAAATACTAGCTCGATCAAATCAACGGTAGATGAAAATCAATAAGCAAGTTCTCTTCGAAATTCATCGTCAATTATAACTTTGCGTAGTAGTCATTACTTTCTAATTATACATTGTAATAAACGCGTATTTATAATAATGAAATTGGTAATGAAATAAAACAAAACTAATTGCACGGGAGTAAATTATTTTCTGCTCACGAAAATTGGGAAATATTGCTGGGATATTTAGAAAACCATTGATTAACAAGATATGAAATAATTCAACCATTATTAAATTAATTTTTCGCTCGATATATTTGTAGTACATAATTTCTATTAGTCTCAGATTTTTTTTAACGCAGAATTAATCGCGTTATAGGAGTGTTTATCGTACTATATTCACACGTGCCGCCAAAAATCTCGGAATAAAAAGTAGACGCGATGGTAATTCGACGAGCGTTAAACGCGATTTCATTTTCGGTCCATTTTAATGGATTCGAAGGAAACACCGACAAGGCTGATACCTAATGCGTCCGATTGACCCGAATCATTAGTAGCCGACCAAAATTATAGGCTCGCCTGTAATTTTAGAATCCTGTCACGCACCAGTCACAATCCAATTGATTTATTTGCGCGAGCCGATTAAACAGAGCTGCTCACTAGTTTTCAATTACATTATTCAGCGATCACTGCCCACGAGTGCGCATTTTATCGAAACGATTGGCATCACTCGTCGAAAATTGCGATCGCGTTCGAGCTGGTCTGCGTCGGAACTGAAGTTTTTCGGATACACATTTTTTAATAGTTTACTATGTTCATGCCATTAATTGAATATTTCCAACGATTAAACGCTCCAAAAAAACCAATGCGGAATTAAATTTAATTTTGATCAAGCAATTGTACATAGTTAATCATCAGTCGTTTTATAATGGAAATAGAGATCCACTGGGTATATTTTCTGTACGTCCTTGAGAATAGTCGTATCAAGATAATATCATAAAAGCGGCAAGAGTGGTTCGAGCAAAATATTGCAATAATATGCTCTTTATCACATAACAATATTTGTTGCGACGAAATACGTCATTTTTGCTTGTAATACCTATTACAGCCACGTGACGCCTCGTTGTGCAATCCAACGTTGTATGTGAGAGGCACGTATAATCAATGGGAGGCATGGTCTTATCGAACAAAACTGATAAACAATAAACTTATGGACACGGTAAAATAGCCTGCGCACGATCTCAAGTACTTTATGATTTTAAGAT